CGGATTGAAAGCGTAACTGCTAGAGGTTTTCTCAAATAGATCAAGGTTAGTAGTAAAATCGGCTTTTCTTTCCCAAGGCGGCGAGCAAGCTCCTCAGCCAAAGCTTGGCCAGGTGCATCCCCATCAGTGGCAAGTATAATCCGGGATGCCTATCAATACAATACATTGAGAAAACAAATGAGCAAAGTTGATAAAAGCTTTTATACTGTACATCAGAAACAGAGGAATAATAACAATTACCGACCTGATGTAGTTGATCTTTGCAGTTCCACAGATACTGATACTTTGTATCCTAGCTTTGCAGAATGAGAATTATCACAAAAGCATCAGTTTCTAACATTGCAAAATAACAAATAGAGTTATCATTGAATCATGATATATATATATATATATATATATATATATATATATATATATATATATATATATCCAGCAAATTAAGCATAAAAAAGACCTTCTCCTTAGCCGGCAACTCCTTCGAGGAGACTGATGGAGGTGCACCATCAGGAACACTCACACAATTGCGGAAGCCAGCTTCTTCCATTGCCAGCTTGTCCATTTCACCTTCAACCTATAATATAAAATCAATATACTAAGAATAAAGCAAAACTTTAACCTTTTGCATAATTTCTACAGATGGCAGAATACATACAATGATAATATCACTTTGCCCCTTTATGTCATCCAATCCATAAAAGATCTTTTCAGTGTTCGCTTCCTGAAATAAAATGATATTGTGGGAAAAGAAAAAGATGCAATAGTCATAAAATCAGCAAAAATGATACAAGCATAAAACCAAAAATTTGACAACTGACAGAAAAAAGGATGTTATGACAATATGACAAAATAACTTCAAGAATGATCAAATTATACAATAAGATGCAAAAGTATTAATAAGTAAAGAGGATGGAGAAAGAAGAAGGAGAACAATAAGGAGTGGGGCAATGGCCTACTAGCCTAATGGTCACCTTACCAAAAATTGAATAATAATAATTAATAATAATAATAATAATAATAATAATAATAATGAGAACAGAAAGAAAAAGTTGGGGGTAGTTATCTAAATTTACATTACTTTATTTCTTTAGTAAACCAACATGCTATAATAAGGACATTTTTAGAACTTTAGGGTCAAAATATTGGGGGGCGGGGGGAGGGGGAGAGAATGAGAAAATAAAATGTGCTTTCCCATTGAGTGTTGTGCAACTATTTTATGTCCTCACCAACTGCTACTCATTGTGAAGCTCCTATACAGAAAAAGAAGAGAGAGAGAGAGAGAACATAAACATTGGAGGCCCTAATCAAAATTATTAGAATCTCCCACGAATGAATTCATATACATAAATTGTTGTTGCAAGAGTGTAACAGTATAAACTCAGCCCACATGCCAATAACTAAAAGGCAACAACACTAATACTCTTAACCGGAAGCTGCTATGTTCTCATTATTAGTAGCAGAGATGTTTGCCATTTAGTTCAACATCAACATCAACAACACCTTTATCCCAAATTAATTGGGGTCGGTGGTAGATGAACCCACATGAAAGATACAAAACGGTTGAAAAAAAGTTAAAAAAAATTAAAAAAAAAATTAAAAAAAAAAAATTAAAAGAAAAATAAAAAATAAAAATAAATAAAAATAAAAAATAAAAATAAAAATAAATAAATAAATAAATAAAAATAAACAAATAAAATAAAAATATAAAATAAGATAAAATAAAATAACAATATATGTATATATAAATAAATAAAAGTAAAAAAGAAAGGGACAAGAAGAAGTGGGGGAAATGAAGGGGAAAAGGACTAAAAAGGGACCATCTGGAACATAGGAATAACAGCGGGTCTAACCCTCCACCATACTTATAGCTTTTCTCCATTCCGTTCTAAGACATACTGTCCGCCAATCTATATCCCACTCCATTAAATCTTGTTTTACTACTTTCCCCCAAGTAAGCTTCGGCCTACCTCTGCCTCTTTTTGTGTTGAGCTCTTGGTAACAAACTTCTGTTCTTACAGGAGCATCCATGGGTCTTCTCATCACGTGCCCAAACCACCTCAATCTATGTTCTCTCATCTTCTCGGCTACCAGTACTACTCCGACCTTTCGTCGAATATCTTCATTTCTTATCTTATCCATCCTTGTGTAACCACACATCCACCTTAACATCCTCATCTCTGCTACTCCCATCTTATGCTCATGTTGCCTATGTGCTGGCCAGCATTCTGCTCCATATAGCATTGCCGGTCTTACTGCCGTTTTATAGAATTTTCCTTTTAACTTCAGGGGGATTTTGCGGTCACACAAAAATGCAGATGCACTGCGCCATTTCATCCACCCTGCTCTGATTCTGTGATTTACATCCTCATCAATCTCTCCACCGTTTTGTAAAATGGAGCCCAAGTATGCACAGATGTTCAGATGTTTTCAATCACTGATTTTATTTCAAACTAATTAAATCTCAGCATATCAATTTTAACACTCAATTTAAATATGCACAGCACCAGCAACTGCTTTTACCTGCCAAAAGTTCTTGTGGACATCCCGATACTTGCAACCAACAGGGGTTCCATCACGATTATATGGGAATGCAATAACAATCTACCAAAAATATGTTAAGGAAACAATTAGTAACACAGATCAGTCACTTGTAAAGTAAAAGAATGGGAATGGGACACTAGCTCCATTAAGAGAGTAATTGTTTATATATTGCCCTCGGATATAGTTGAACATTCAACATATCATCTTCATTAAATAAAAGTCAAAGACAATCCTTGCCTAACCGATCAATAAGTAGAACACCATTTCTTTTCAAGTGAATATTAAATAGTTAAATTTGTGTATTTTAACACTATGCTTTTTTAATCAGCTTGTAGAAAGTGTAACCAATATCAGTCATATCAACAAATTCAAAATTATTACATATATGCCATGAATAATTTTTCTAGTAAAACCAACCTTGAATTTTGCTCTTTGATCTCTCTTTCATCAAAATAAACCAAATAATCAGAAGGAAAATATAAGAATTTACCTAAACCAATACATTGAAGATACATATTAATATTTAGAATATTATATTCCTAATTCTTTTATCATTTGAAAAAGAGTATGTACAATCTGTCTGTCTTGATAACAGTTGCAGCAAACTTACCTTGTTTATTAACTGGATTATTGTTATTCTAAAATAAAATTTCCTATGTCACTCATATTAAGCTCATAATTTAGTGCACCTGATCGTCATATTTTCTCTGCTTCACAGCATTTCTCTGCAGAGTCTCCTTTGAAATCAAGCGCTCAGCAAAATATGCAAGAAGCTGAAATTGGGCAAATAAAGTTTTATTCACTATATTGCTTGGACATGAACAAATAAATTATCAAATTTACTACCAATATAAAAGCCATACGATGAGCATAACACACACAAATTAGGGTATATATCAAATATCAATTTTAATGACTGAAGGCTCTTTTGAATTACTGTTGATGGGGAGCAAATGTCCCACTGCTTCACTTTTTTTACTTTAAGTAAACACATGTTTACATTCCACACATCCAAAACAAACAGGCCATAACTAAATACAAAAAACTCGGATAATCAAGAGAAACAATATTAAAAAATGGTGACTCAGCTGCCAAGACATAAACAATAAATTAATTGAGTGCAGATTATAAGAGTAAATGCAAGCCTCTTAGACATTAGCAATCAATTTTAATTGTTTGCCAAAACAGTTGACAGATATCAAGCAAAAGAAAGAAGAAACTTTAATTGAGTGCAACAAATAAAAATGCACAACAATTATACAGCAATCAATATTAGTTGCTTGTTCAATAGATACACAATTGTGTGTGTGTGTGTGTAAAGATGGCAAAGGAAAACAAACCATGCTCTGCATATTTACAGAGTAAGCAGCGACGAACAATGAATACACTACATAATCAATTTGCCTCTATTAAACACATTGGCCCAAAATTAAACATTTAATAACATAAGCAACTATCAAGAAGATATATTGACAACAAAACATCTACTTTAGATCTTGTAATACTTTACATATTCATATCAGAAAGAAGAGAGAGACAAAGCAAGGCCAACAATGAAGAGAAAGCCATTAGCTAAAAGCAGCACTTTGATTCCAGGCATGCCAACAAAGGAAACCCCCACCCCTTCCCAAAAAGAAAAGGAACAAAAAGGAATCATTAGCTGAACACCACAGGAAAAAGACATATATATTTGATCCCACATAGTTTGCAAGGAGAAGACACTCTGGTTGCATACACTCTAACCAATTGCACCACATCCCTGCAAAGAGACAGATTTCTTCCTTGATCTCTTTTCTTATCCCAAAATTTCAGAATGAAAAGGAAAAAAGAGTTCTATGTGGACATATACACAGCCCATTACAACTACCAAAAAGCTTACTATATAGCAGCTGCCAATCTCAATGGAGAAAGAGATTGGAGAAGCATCCTTATTTCAATTAATGGTATCTACATGAAATATTTCATACATCTATTAATCAAAATTCCATGCATATGATTTGTAAAGTAGGTGGTGAAAAACTTACAATCCAACTGTGAAATTCAAGATTCATTATCTGTTTTGTAAGTTAATGAATAGTGAAATATTATTACATCATTCATAGGCATGAGCAAACACACAAATTGTCATGGAAGGAACCAAGTAGTTTGACCGAGGAAAATAACAATCCCTATTGCTAATTGATAGAGAAGTCTAATATAAAATCATTAAAGAGGCCTTCACTTAACAACTTGTGCTTTTAGGTGAGATGGTTGTTTTTTATGGTATCACAGCCAATGACCAACTCGGCACGAGTTCAATCCTCAATATTTAATTGTGGAATTTCTTAGCAAAGGTAGGTGGACCTGTGCATTACCTACCCTTCAAGCACAATGGGCTCTTGTGTAAGGGGTGTGCTAGAGAAGTCTAATATAAAATTATTAAAATGACCTTCACTAACAGCTTGAGCTTTAAGGTGATATAGTTGTCTATCACTAACATTTCAAAAAAAAAAGGCTCAGCTGTTCAGGAAATCGAATATTTCTATATCATTATACAAGGGGAGGGGGTTGAGCTAGCCCCCTTGAAAAATTGATCTTTATTTCCTATAAAGGAGTGTATTCGGTTGTATAAAATAAGATAGTAAGCCACGGACGACAGATTTTTATCATGACCAATATCTGCACCAGATATCAATTGTATAGAACATACAATTCATAAAAAGAAGGGACAAAATTAGGTAAGGTAAAATTTAATGACCTCATTACAAAGTGGTTCTAGCTGCAATTCCTCCTCTGAAATCTGTCTTCTTATTTTAACGTGGGTTTCTTGACTCAGTGTTGCAGAATATGAACTACTACCAGCAAAGGCCTACAATAGAATGAAGAAAAACAAACTGATTAACACATCCACATGTGTTAAGCAGAACATGACATGCTTTAAAATGAAAAATATCTAACCTGTTGGCTGCCTTTATACCCACACTTTCCGCGAAAGCACAACCATGATGCAGACCCCCTTAAATTCAAAAATCGCCAAAATTAAAACAAAGTAGAAGTATGACCAGCAAAAAAAATAGAATGAGGTAAGTTTATGAAAAATGATATCTAACATACCCGTCTGGTGCAATGTAAAGAGAAAAGCTCTTTTCTCCTGTTTCACCACCTTGACACTAGCAAAAAATAAGAGTATTACAAGGCACATACAAAGCTGAACACAAAAAATATTTTCTACTCCCATTGGGAAATGTAAAATAGGATTTATGCAAGGAGAATGAACTACTCTCATTGTGCAGTTCTACTAGCCCAAAGTAAAATGGAAATTAAAAAACAAAACAAGAAAAAGAAATTCATCTATCAATAGAAATTCAAGTTAGATACATTGGTTTGAAATAAGTAATAAACACTCTTCAATTCAATATTTCAGGGATTATCATTTTTAACATCATAATCTACTCCCTTAACTCAAGTTAAAATTTCCCTTTCAAATAATTACTTTAAGTACAATTTTTAAATCAAATCTAATATATACCAAAAAGAAAGGGAAAAGACTCAGTTTCTTAACAATGTTCTAGAACGAAAATTTCACACAACTCCAAACCTGAAACATGACCAAAACAAAGACACAATTCTTTATGTCTTTATAGCAATGAATATACAGCATACTATAGTTGAAGTGTGTCAGTGGGAGGGAAAGACAAAATTTTCAGACCAAAGCCAACTCAACCTAGTTATGATGGTCAGGTGAAACAATTGTTCGGGGAGAAGATCTAATAGAATTCAAGTACTTTCAAATGTATAAAAAAACACTACAGTTGATAACTTCTACTTGAAAAGTTTCTACTGTTCAAAAAGCATTCAACATTGAAGAAAACTAAAATAAAAAGAAACAAAGGGGGGGGGGGGGGGGGGGGGGGGGGGGGAATACCGCTGGACAAAGCAAGTTGTTATGTTGCCCAGGTACACATAATCCTGTTTCAATTCCAACAGCTTCCAACTTCTTTTGCAACATACTGAATTGCAACCCCAACCTATTCTCATCAGGGTTTTCCAAATGAGCTTTAGAAAACGAAACCAGCAACAGAAAAAGTTAGTAACTTGATACACATTTAAGGTTCTTTAGTTCCCATTAGAAAAGGGTACCTTACCTGGCCTAGGGACACTGACATGAGAAGTACCATAATAGCCATTGGTTCTGAGCGGCGATGGACGATTTTTTGAAATGGGTTTGGAACAAAACACAGTAAAGAAGGCTCTGCGTGGGGAAAAATAGTTCCTTTGAGGTGAGAGGCTCTTTTTGAGGTTTGAGAATGGAGTGGAGAGGAACAAGGATTGGGTGGTCATGGTAGTGAGTTTTGAAGAGGAGAATAAGGGAAGGTTGCATAGAAGAGTGTGAGGATAACGAAGATGCATATTCTGAGAACAATGAATCATGAATGATCGAGGAAAAAAAGGTTTGTTTTATATTCTTCTTCTTCTTCTTCCACAGAGTGACTGTGTGTGTTTGCGTGCTGTGTTCATCGACAGTGTTAGCGTCAAGGTAGAAAGAGGGTTTTGGTATAAGCCCTTTGTTTTTTTTTTTGGGTACAATGGTTTAAGCCTTTTAAAGTAGGGTGTCAATTTGACAGCTTCGGCAGAGACTCCATGGGCATTACTAGCCCAAGGCTTTGCAGATTGTAGTTCTCGTTTTTCAATTCCATTATATCCAAAAAAAAATTGACAGCTTCGGAACTTTTTCAATGCTTACGATTAGGAATTTATATTTTTATATTTAGATAAAATAAAAATTGTTTGAATTTCTGATGAAGGTATGTATATTTCATTTAAATTTAAAATTTACAAAAAGAAAAATTAAGAATAACATGTGTTATTATTCTTTAATCAAAAGTAGACTAAAAGGGTGTATTGGATTGAAATTTCTGGATTATTTTTGAATAAAAAAATTAATTGGTATTTAATTAAGATTTTAAAATATTGAAAAAAAATTGCGTTGTATTTGATTAAAATTTTAAAAGATTATTTTAGAATTCGTCCAAATCCGTTAATATTCAATCAGAATTTTAAGCAAAGAAAAAATAATCTTGAGGTATTCAAATAATGTTATAAAAATCGGATCGACCCGAAAATCAGTGAACCGATCATGTAACCGGTCCGGTTTACATATTGGACCGGCCATGTTACAGAACCGGTGCGACCCGACTGATTTTCATAAAAACTGGTGACCCAGTCGGTTCAACCAGCGATCCGGCCCGGTTTGTAAAAAAAAAAAAAAAAACTAATTTATTCTCATTAATTGATGTCTTCTTTTTTTTAACTCTTAAGCACAAATGATTTGTTTTCTTTTGAAATATTTGAGTGATTTGTAGTTTATTAACTTACATAGATTATGTACCTACAACACTAATATTATCTTGGTTGTGCAATATAAAGAGAATTTGATTTGATTTTTAGTTAGAGATATCGTTTACTGAACCTGAAACATCAGTATAACAAATATGGGCTTATCGTTTCTCAAGCTGTTTGAGATAATTTTATTTCCGACTACTAAATCATAACCGTACAAATATGGATCAACGGTGATAAAGGAAGAGAGAGAGAAAAGGGGAATTATAACAATTCAAAGGTGAATCAATTAATATAAAGAAATAAATAAACAAAACGACATAGTTTTGGAGTGGCCGGAGATAAACTTATCTCAAGTTGCCATAGAAATATTTTTTCCAACAAATATTATATGTTTGATTACTCTTTTGTTGGACAACGATGTGTAACTTATTATTTTTCATATTAAAATATTTGAAATTGGTATATTTTTCAGGTATTTAAGTATATTTATAGTTTTTTAACATAAATTATAGATTTACATATATTTATCGGGTCATGCAGTTGAACCAGTGTTCCAGTACCTCGATCGGTTCTATAATCGGGCCGAGTTTAACAACATTGTATTCAAAAATCTAACGATTTTAATTAATTTTCTATTGTGTAGGTTGTGTGAGACTTTTTAATGAGAAATATAAATAGGATGCATCTCTCACAATCTCACCTTAATACCTATGATATCTTGAGATTTTTATATTACAGTGTCTTCTTCTTCTTTTAGCATGTTGACCCACTCGAAATCGGGTTCCGCATAAGAGCTTCGTCAAAGCTCAAAAATAGCTTATTTTTGAGCAATTTTCATCACACAAAATAACCCAGAAACAACAGACCAACAATATTCTAATATAATTCATCTCAAAAAACATTAGAATTTTTAAAGCTTTTGAAAGTTTAAAAAATAATTTTTCAAGTTATAAGTCGCAATTTTTTTTTGGCATCAAAATGTGTGATTTTTGTATTTAAAACAACATAAAACAGCAGAAAAATAACAGGGGAACTAAAACTCTTAAACCAATTTTCGCTTTACATCAAAGAAACAATATCAATTTAAATAAAGATTGAAACTTTCATAATATGATCCTTATATTTCGTAACAATACATTCGTGAACGAAATTCCTTCGCTATAAAAAATGATTTCAAATAATTTTTGAATCAATAGGGTGTGCATGACAATCATTCTATTCCCTAGCACTGTTTCTGAAAAGAAATAATTCTTTTCTATTTCTAAGCCTTGGAATAGTTTATAAGAAAAAAAACATGTTTGATAACATGTCTTATTTTTATTCTGAGAATGAGAATTGTGTTTGATAATACAACAAATAATATAATAAAAAATAATTCATATTAAATATAAAAACAATTTGGATCATCACTTTCCTTTTCATATGTGTGATTGTGGTGGTGGCGGCGGCGATACAGTAGTGGTGGTGGCAGTGACAGTGACATGGTGAAGTTAGTGGTGGTGGTTGTGACGGCAGTGGCTGCAACGACGGTGGTGGTAATGTTGGCGACAACAGCGATAGTGATGGGGATGATGGTGGTGGAGGTGATGGCAGCGGCTGCGACAATGATGGTGGTTAAGATGGCTGGTTGCAGCAACAATGGTAGCAGTGGTATGGTTGTGGTGGTTGTGAAGACATCATGGCGGTGGTGGTGGCAGTGGCTGCGGCGGTGGCGGTAGGTGGCAGTGGTGGTGGTGGTGATGGTGGCGGTGGCGTGGTGATGGTAGTAACCGGGGTGGTGTAATGGTGGCGATGGTGGTGGTGGTGACGGTAATGGCTGTGACGATGATGGTGGTGGTTGGTGGTGGCGGCAGCGGCGATGACGGTGATGGTTGCGACAATAGTAATGGTGGTTGGTGGTGATGGTAGTGGTGGCGTCGTGGTGGTGGTAGTGGTGGCGATGGGAGTGGTGGCAGTGGCAGTGACGACAATGGTTGCGATGATGGTAGTGGTGGTGATGGTGGTGGTGGCAGCGGTGGTAGTTGTGGTGATGGGTGGAGGTGGTGGTAACGGTGGCGGTGTAATCGTGGTGGTGATGGGTGGTGACGACGGCACTAGTGGTACGATGACGACGGCGACGATGGTGGAGACAGTTGTGTCGGGATGATGGTGGTGGTGGTGGTAGTGATGATAGTAGAGGTGGATAGTAATTGAGAGAGATAAATATTTTTCATTTTATGCCCGGGAACAAAAAAGCAAAAAAAAAATTGATTCTTTTTTTTGTTCCCTAGCACAAAAATTAAACCGGTTCATCTCGGGAACAAAAAAATAAACCGGTTTTACCAAACGAGTTTCCTATCCATTTCTGTTCCCGAGAACAGAAATTAAAAAAGAATTGATTCCGGGAAGGTTGTCAAGCACACCCTAGATAACTAAAAGTTTGTTTTTTAAAAGCCCCAAAGCAATTTAAGGTTTCAATATATCGATTGAAAATAATTTGAGAAATTTTTTAAACTTTCATGTAATAAAACCATGAAATTCATATTCGAAATTTTCTTAGAATACTAAATGAAAACATGCATATGAGATATGGTTAGAAAATTCTCATCACGTAGAACAAAATCCCAATGTTTCAAAATTAATTGCAAAAAATTTCAAACGAAATTTTATCATGAACTTTAGGTTCTATATGCAAATTTAGAATTATTTTAATAAATAAAAAAAAATTGGTTTTTATAATCATATATGAATAGCTCTAACACCAAATGAATAAGATAATTTTTAACCCATTGGTCAAACCCTAGAGCAGGAACGAGAAAATGTTAATGCGTGAAGGACTAGTATAGCTTTGAATATATGGGGAACTGTTACTTAGTAATTTTGGATGTTTGTTAAAAATTACATTATGGTTTACTGATTGATAAAATTATATTAGGTTTTACTTTTTTTATTAATATCATTGCATTTCTTTATTTTTTTATTGACTCTTGTAATTTTGAATATTTGTTAAAAATTCATATGTTTTTAAAATCTTATAAATCCATATTGTCCTTTCAAATCTTATAAATTCTATTAAAATCCTTTAAAATTCAATCTTATGAAATCTTGATTGTAAAAAAAGTCTTTTAAAAAAGTTTTTTTTTTTTTTTTGTAAATAAAGAGGGGCTAAGCCCCAGAAACAGAAAGAAATTACAAATCAGAAACTAACAAGCTAGACATATTTCTAGCATCAGCAACTATAAGTTCCATCAACTGAGGAGGAGGATCTTTAAAAATCTTGAAATGGAGATTATTAGTCTGCCCAGCTTTAGCTAACCAATGAGCACATTTGTTGTTTTCTCTCTTGGTATGAACAAGATGAATAGTCCAATCTGCTTTTAACCATAATCTCAATCTGCGAGTGACTTGAGAGTCCCTAGGATCTTCATGCTGCTCCTTTAACATCTGGATGGCTTGGCTAGAATCACATTCTAGCTCTATTCTTTTTAATCCTGTTCCCCAAAGCAGTTCCAAACCTTTCAATATTCCCATAATTCTGCATCAAGAGGATTGCAGGAACCTAAATTACAATAGAAGCTTCCCAAAAAGGATCCATTGTGATCTCTTAATATACCACCACAACTAGCTTTTTTCATGCCACTAGAAGAAGCTCCATCACAATTCAACTTAACCCACCCTTGCTTGGGGGCTGTCCAAACGCTATCGTTGGAATCACCACGGCGCTGATAAATTCGGGCTTGCAGAATCTGTTGGACAAACATCCAAATTGAAGCCTGTGATTGCTTATCATGACAGAAATGATCTTCATGGATCTCCAAATTTCTCCACTTCCACAAAAACCAACAAGTAGTAAAGAAAATATCCCTCCAGTCCTTCACTTTATTGGAGGACCACATGTTATCGATATTTAAAGTCAACCAATCCTGCAAATTCGAATTCATAAAGGAATTGGGTATCGAACCTGTAAATCAAGATTGCCAAATTTTCCTAGCATGTCTACAATCACGAAGAACATGAATAATAGTTTCCTCATGATTTGGAC